CTCGATCGATCGCCTCGAGTGCAAGAGCTCGAACGAGGGGCGGGAGGAACGCAGGAAGAACGAGATCGACGGCGGCCACGCGGTCATGAAGTCGAGATCGACGTCGAGCGTGGGCACGTGGAAAGCGGAATTGGAAACGGGGGAATCGAACGGAACGAGGACGAGCTCGTCGAACCACTCTTCTAGTCTTTCCGGCGACGAGAGTCGCGCCAAAGTGAAGAGGTGCGCCAAGGTCGTCTCCTCGATGACCATGGAGAAGTGGAAGGAGACGGCCAGGTGCGAGACGAGGAGCAAACCCCTCGCCCCCGACGATTTGACGACACCGTTGAGACTGGACGAGGCTGTTCTCGAGAAGAAGAAGCAGGGTGGGACAGGAGTCGGGGAAGGTGAGAATAGGTTGCACAATTTGAGGAGCGTGGACGACGTGGAGGATGACGAGCTGCCAGCGTTTATTGGCAATCTTTTGGTCTCCGTGGAGAGGAAAATCGAGAGAGTTTCCTTGGACGATCTGACGTTCCCCTGTCCGGCGTGCAGGAATATAGACACCGACGATCCGTTGCTGGGTTGTAGGTGCGCTGGTGACGATTGCAGCTGCGGGGAGGATACTTGCGATTGTTCGCCCTCGGCCAATAAGAGGAAGGAACAATCGACGAGGAGCTTCGAGATCGCTGGTATCAAGCACATCGACAGCGACGATGAGGAGGAGGTGCGGATGGGATTCGGTGAGTGTATTTCAATTGTTATTGTTCGGGTTATTATTATGTGGGATGACACGTGAACGTGGGTGTATATTTAAGCGCCGATAAATTTCATCGGTGGATTCGTTTTAATTCATAATAAGCTATTTGGTATTTCAGATAGCATTTATAATATTATTGATATTTAAGATGGATCAGAATTGCGGGCGATTCTTGTTCATGAAAGAAAGATTATAATTGATCATAATTTAATCCTCTTCGTTAAAATTTGAGGATTAATAATTATAGAATATAGCGCAGTTTTATTACTAATAGGAAAAAAATATAATTTTTTAAAGAAGAGAAAACAAAATTTCGATGTTTCTAATTTTCAAAATATCTAACTTTTTAGCCCATATAAGCTTATAAAAAAAAAAACGTTGTATAGTTAAATGCGATTTTAATTTCCAATTCGAATTCAATTTTGAAGTATTTCGATTTTTATTCTTCATAAAGCATCGAATTCGCTTTTCTTGGTAAAATCTATGACACCCAAGAGACGGTTAACGCGATAACTTTATACAGAATGGTTCTTGTGATTTATCGAGATTCTCGATGAACTTGAAATTCTGTCGGAAGCGTGGGCGTAGCTCGGGTGTAAAGCGGCTACTTCACGTCACGTTCGAAGAACTTCCATATTGACTCGATTCATGCCAAGAATTTACGAAAAAAAGTTTGACGTAAAGGACGCAATAGCGTCTCTTCTGCCTCAAGGAAAACTCGATTCGAGCCTCAAGGTTTATTGTTTAAATTTCGAATAAGTAATAAGCATAAGTTTTCTTTTCATTTATTGAAAAGAATCGAAGGATTTATATAAAAAAGAATTTATGATTTTTATCTTTTTCCAGAAGAACAGAAAAATGTTTTAAAATTTTTAATATTCCTTTAATAAAATATTCATCGTATTCATTTTGATAGCAAGGATCATTTTTATTATGAATTTCCAATTTTTTAACTTGTTACAATGATTATTAAACTTATTTATTAAACTTCCATTCTGATATCAGAGTCTATATAATATATATATATGGTTTTATTATTAATATTATTGTAACTTGCTGTAGTTCAAAGTGTTCCTTGATATAAAAAATGAATAGTAAATTCTGTGAAGAATGAGAGTTTGAATAGAGCTTTGTGTTGTATTGCTTTTGAATAAAATGACTTAGAATATTTTTGATCTTATTTTATATAAACATGCGAAATTATTCAAAGATTATAATGAACATAAATTAGACAATATGTTAAACATTTTGGAAATCGTAGATATACTATATAAACATATATATAAAAACATAATTATAATTAACAAATAGTATAAGTATATAAATTAAACATTTCCAAAATATTTTTAATTGCAATATTTGTTTCACCTTCATAAGATTTTCTAAAGATAGTTTTACAATTTCGTGTAATTGAATTTAATCAATTAATTATTAATGATATTTCATTTAAATACTAAAAATTCATATTTAAAAAATATAATTAGAATATGATTATTGGTTTACCAAAAAGATGAATATTCTTGTAATCAGAAACAACTAGTCCTATCAATTTTATCGGTTCAAAAATCGAACAATTTTTTTCTAGAGAACAAAAACAAAAAACAAATAAGACCAAAGATCTCCAAATGGGTCATGAAGTTCCGTGACTCGGGCGATCTCTTTTCACATGTCCACCCACGCGTTGCTTCCCGCGTCTTCCGGTGCCCTTTGGTGCCGCCGCCGACAGGTTTGTAAAGAGCCGAAAAACCTTCCACCACCCACCATCTCGGCGTGCCATTAGCGGCGTGTTTGCACTATGGTAACGCTGACTTATGGTATTTGTCTCCTCTCGTGCACGAGCTTACGTAACACGGCCGACTCGCGTAGGTGAACGGGAATCAAACGTGCTCTTTAATTCCTTCACGTCGTCGTGAACCGGGACGATGAAAGAGATTCCTGGCATTGCTCGGATTCGGGCGTAATTGTTCCACAGGTATCATAGCCGTAATATTTTAGCTTTAGTGCCTAATATTTTATTAATGCTTTGTCATCGTTGATCAGTATGCAATCTGAAAAGGAAAAGGAATTTAGGCTGTTCATTGGTAAAATTAGTTAAATAGATAATATGATATATCGTGTTTGATTAATATTTTTGATAATAAATAGTCATGAATCAGTCCAAGATTTATTTCATAGATTGGTATTTTCATGTTCTTTAGAATTAATAACGTCAAATTTTTATTAACTATTATATATTCTAATTAAAAATTTATATTTCTTCAATATTTTATATAAATTTTTTATCGATTAGAAGAATCTGGATTTATAAAGTTCATAAAGAAATTCACGATTTGTTTTTTTTAGTGACGATACAAAGGATTCAGTCGAATTCGACCCGAATAAAAAATATATTAGAATAATTATCAAAATAATTTTCATTGTTTAAAAAAAAATATAGTTTATCATAGTGTTATAAATTTGTTTAAATTTCTTAAAATTGTAAGTGAGAAAAGAAAAATTATAAAAATAATAATTAAAAATTATAAAAATATAAATTAAGGTTCAGATAGGTTAAGGTAAGGTTTTCAATGGATTAATAGTTTTTAACAATTTAGTTTTCAAATATATATTTATTTTTAAAATGATCCATACCTTTATTTCTTTACCTCGATTCATAAGTAAATTCTGTGCACTCAATTTATACAATAAATAATGATAATGAACTTGTCGATGAACATGCACGTGATAATGAAACGTGCCGATAACCTAACGTCCTTACCCATGCATACTCACATTCATGAATCTTAAGCCCTCTTTTAACAACGTGTTAACTTTTACAGTTTACTCTTCCTATTAAACCCATCTTTCAACCAGAAGCCAGAATCATGCATAGAGTCATATATTCTCGTGATTCGTAGAAACATATTTTTCCACTGACCCACGATACAAAGGATTCAGAATTCGACCCGAATGAACGTTCGAATAAACCGCGAATGACATACCAAAAATAACGTGTCGAGGAATATCTCTCAAACTGAGATTGTCACGATACGGAAACCGGTCGCGACCCGTCCGAATGTCAGTTGCACTGTCATCGTGAAAGAAGTTGCATCTAACGCTATAGGATCGGACGTGACTCCATGCCGGCCGTCCCGTTTCATTAACGCGATGCCTATTGTACCGTACGGCTTCTCCAACGTCCGCGATCGCAACGCCCTCATTCGTTCAACTGTGATTCGTCCTCGTTTAAGGACGTGTAAATATCGGAATATGCTCGAAACACGAATTTACATAGTAATAAAATTTTGAAGTGTATCATTTTTTTGAGATCAGGCAAAGTAAAGGATGACTTTTGTAAGTATTTATGTATATCAGCGATAGATATTATTTGGAAATACATATCATCTAATCCAAAATACATACAATCTAATCCAAAATCTTACAAATATTGTGATTGTCTAAAATCAGTAGATATTGTAGACTTTGTCTGGATAAAGTGTTAATTTTTTTCAGTTTGTCTATTACATATATATGTATATACGAAAGTATTCGAATATATGAAACAATAAAAGTATACTTGTTATATACCTTAATTTTTGAAGGTTATAATTATTATCAAGAATTTTAAACAAATCGAATAATATTTGGAGAAGTTATAAAATGTTCATTGTGCTGTAAGTACATTATAAAACTATTTGAACGAATATATTATTATTTATTATCTTTATACATTACATTATATTAATAAAATTTGTTCATTTTTTATTTTAATATCTATCTGTTGATGATATTCCACAACGTGAATTAATTTTTACTTTGTGGTTAAAAAAGATAACTTCTTTTTTAATCTTTTATATATATATATATATAAGAAAGCAGTTAAAAATTAAAGAATTATCTATATTGAAAAGATAAAACTTCTATTCATAATCTATTTTCTCGAACTAAACATCATCAATTAGAATAAGAAGTTACTATTTATATCTACTACGTATTCTATTTGTGTCATTATTCTTCTCATCGAGCATACTCAAATGTAGTTTTCTATCCAAACGAAAAATCATTATCGTAATGCTTAAAAAGAACTCTATTCGATCGGTCGTGCAATCATGCAACAGAATTCAATCTTGTCTCGATTTACATGTCGTTCAGTCTCTCTTCAGAGATAAGACTGTCAATGTAAGAGGTTGTATCGCTATGTCATAGTCGCCGAGTTTTATTATGGACAAGGGAGGAATGCATGTTTCGCCATAGTGACCAAACGAGGGGAACGACTTTGAGGATGTTGTGTGTCGTTTAGCCAACCATGAAACTAGAAAGCTTCTGTGAACAGAGGTCTAGCTACCATGTATACATACATTGCCACTTGAAAGTATTGGGACATTGGTTGCTTTCAATGAACATGAATTTATGTTTCCTGACATATAACAGAAATTATTATTATAAAATAATAGTTATTGCTATTTATATATTTAAAACTAGTATTATCAAATTTGTAAAAATGATCAGTTAAGTATTATTATATTAAAAGCATATACTTTTGCTGAGAATTAATGATAATTATAATGAGATAAACATCTGATTATATATATTTATTTTTAATATATAATTTAGATTATAAATATAGTATTTTAAAAAGATTAAAAAACTATTATAACAGTTAAAATTATGACAAGTAATTTCGAACAAATCTAATAATTAATATTTCATTTCTCTGTTAATATATCACTTTTATTACTATTGATAAGATAATTTAATCTATTATTGACAAAATATATTTTTCAATGGAAAAGTAATGGAATTCACTAATAATTTCATGATCTCTTTGTTACAATTAGAAACTGTGTTCATATATTATATACTTATTAATAGAAATATATATTCATACGTATTGGTGCAGATTCAATCGAATTAAATCGAATGTTTCGGTGTAGGAGGCCGTGTACACCGTGGTCTGATTGAACGTTCGCCTTCACCAGCTGACTATACTTAGTTGCTCATTGATCGTCTCTATGGCGGTCCTCAATCATATCTGCTTAAGCGAAGAATCAACCGGCTACCACAACGGAGGCTGTTCACCTCTGCCCGCCCTCTCTCCACAAGATACATAATGGATCGTGTTAAACGCCACGATAAAATAGTGGCTGCGTTTCATGGTTCGCCGATCGACCGCTTTCGGATTGATTCTGTTTTCTTTGTTTCTTCGACAGCCTTCCCCTGAGAAGAAGAAAGAAGTATCTGTTTGCATCGGATAGTTGTTCGATACTGCTGATAATTTAGTCGTTTCGACGATTGAGATGTGATAATTGCTGATTTATCGTGATGATTGCTTAGTGGAGGTTAGTATTATTCATCGATCGGATGATAATAAGTTGTGTATGGGATGAAAATGTGTAGATTGTTTTTGATATGTGTTTGTCGGAGATAATATCAGGAACTCTGTATGCATTATAATTTAGTAATTGGAGAGGAAATGATATTAGATATAATTGATAAATGATCAATTTTAGGATATAAATTTCTCTTGTAAAAATAATTTTTGCAGTTATATGATATAATAGAGTATAATAGAGTAATCAGAGAGCTTAGGATTTTTACAATTTACTTTAATTTATTTTATTATAGTTTTATTACAAGTAGAGACATATGCAAGTATGCAATAATAGTTGTAATATTTTTTTACTTGTATAGATATTGCTATATACAATTTATTTAACATAGCAAAATTTTTACGCAAAAATTATTAATTTTATTGATTATATTGTCACATATATACACATATTAATTAGAATAATTAATATATTATATTATTTAATTATTTATTTATATTTATAAAGCAATAATTATTCATTTATAAAAAAATTTATAACATTATATTTTATTGTTAAAATATGTTAATATTTATTTAAAAATATAACAATAATTTTGTAGTAATTGAACAACATATTACATCTTCATAATATATATTTCATATTCTATTAAAAAATGTCTTATTACATAACTTATGATTTAAAATTTAATATTTTAAAATAGAAGCATATTCGGTTTATCCAATCTAATTTATTTAAATAATTAACTTATCATTAAATACACTTATAAGTATTTTATTATTATAATATAATAATTTATAACTTCTAGAATAATTGCTATTAATATTAGTTAGCTAAAATTATCCGTCTATACTCATCTGATTGTTTCTACAGAATGAAAGTCAATTGTATATACATGATACAGAACCATTTCCATTGCCAATATTACTATTTCATAACATACAAATACATTCACAATCTCTTTATTCTACATATTCTCTATTCTATATTCTCTATTCTAATTTAAACAAAAATCGATATCCAAATCAAGTTTATGAACGAGCAATTCACAAAAATCAGAGTGATGATGGTTAACAATATAGAATTTATCTATCATTGCGAATGTTTTGAAAATATATCCTCAAAACTTGGCTGTGTAACTTGATCGACGGCCAAGAGTTCTCCTAATTGGAGGAAGCATGTAATGGCCTTCCGTTCCGTTGTTCTATGGGATTCTCGTTGGTAAATAAACTCATAGAGTAATGGCCCGTGTAATTCGAGGGTATTTATTCGCTTGGTCGAGGAAGTCTGGATAGGGGAACGGTTTCGTTCCAAGTAAGTACGAATTTTTCGCGTTTATCTCGCGTTTCAATCGGTCATCGATGATTGTGAAATGAGAGCATCCTATGTCTTTAACCCTTTTAACAAAAAGGCTTTGTTCTATCATGTAATTTTAAAAGCTAAATTTAGAATAAAGTTATTTTATTAATTTATTATAATATATTTAGAGTGTTTTATAGAATATCATCTTTTGAAAGATATTCAAAAACTTAATATTACCTATGAAAGATATATAGAACTTAATATTTATATTAATTTATATATAACCTATTATTTATATCAACACTACTTATTTCTAATATTAAATTTATAATCTATAAATTACTACTACATATGATTTCAGTGCAGATAATTCCAAATGGTTAAAGTTAATATTGAATATTTGAAGATACTACAATATGTAAATATATTTACATTTTAAAGTCTTATAAAGTAGAGTATTTGCAAAGTAGTATTTTTTGAAAAATATTCAAAAAGTTAATACTATTTATAGAATATATTTTAATATTTAATAATTTAATACTTATGTATTTATATTAGTTATTCATTAATTTTTTTTAATTTATTAATTCATTAATTTTTCATTAATATTTTAATAATCTATTTAAAACTCTTACATAATATATAATACAAATAATTTCAAGTGTAAAGGATTAAAATTATCTTAATTAGTAATCAAATAAATAAAATAAGATAAAAATAAATACGAAAATCGCTCGTGAGAATTCTTTCATTTGATTCAATAATACATTACTTTATCATCATCGTTAATTCTTTGCATCTTTGCATCGTTCATGTTTTAATAATAGTCAATTACATTCATCGATACCAAATGCATATTGTGCATGCTTCACAAGAAATTCTAAGAAATAAATACGAATTCGATTCGTATTTGGATTGGAATAAAATATTTGCAAATAAGATCATGTAATATCATATATCATGTAATATAATATCATTATAACAACCTGTATCCTCGTGTTTCTAATTTTGTAATGTCTCATGAAACTTATTGTGAGGCATGCACAATACAAGCCTATACATTTTCTTGAATCCAATGACCTGGTCATCGGTAAGTGGCCGACAGTGCGTAACGGTTTTTAATACGGCCTGCATGGTCGAGACAAATAACGCTTGGAATCAAGCCATCTAACTCAATTGTTGGAAGCGAGGGAATTAAGGGCCCGAATTAATCCAATTGTCCTCTCCTGCCAGATAATTGAATTGGCTGGGAAATGAAAAATCAATAAAGACCACTGTCGATTACCGGTACTACGCACCCTGGTGCGTGGGATTGGTTTGTGCTTACGTGATGTGGAAGATATGCATGGTACTTTCGTTTGAATTATAGTGCGCGTTGCAATTGGAATGTAATTAGGATTCGAACAAGGCCTTAAGGAAGGTGCGAATGTATTACCGGTTTAGATAGTGTACTGCACTGTGCGAAAGTCTTGAATTACATGTTTTATTGATCTTGTAATGGCATCTGAATTTTTAAAAAATATTTCTATTTGCTGTAGAGATGTAATGTATAGATATAAGATTGTTGCATATTTTGTAGCTTTTCTTGGTTTGTATTTTTTGTTTGTATGAGATTGTGATACGTAGAAATTTGACCTAAATATTTATTATATCCCACGCCAATATATCTTAAAAAATAATATGAAATATTTAAAAAAAAAATAATTATCAAAAAAACAAAGAAAAAATAATATAATAATGGTTAATCTCTAAGTTAATTATTTATGAAAAAATAAAAATAATAATATAATAAAAATAATATAAATATTAATATTTATAATATAATATATTTTATTAATATAATAAAATAATAATATAAATATTAGATACTTACAATAAATTCAAAGTTTTGCATTCATTTAGTAGAAATGTTGAAAATTATATGTATAATAATAGTTTCATATCAATATATTAAATAAATATGGAATTTGTTTGCATTTTTTTAAAGTATTAAGAATTTTATCATATAAACATAAACATTACAAGATATCTTTTATCAAAATTATCACATTAAATTCTATTAATATAATTCATGCTACATTCAAGAATCACAAATAGAATGAATAATCAATGTTCTTGTTCAACTTATCAATACTCGATTAAAAATTGAGATAAATATTTATTAATATTTAATAATTAAAAATTAATAGAAAATTTTAATTTCTATAATATATTTTCAAAATATAATATAATTTATTAATGTAGAATGATAAAAATATGTAGAATGACAATAACAAAAAATATAAAAAATTTGTTGTAGTAAAAAATATTCAATTAATTGTTTTCCAAGTATTCCTAGATTGTTCGATTCCTAGGTTGATCGATTGTTGTTCATGTTAACGACAGTTTCCTTGAACCTGACCGATTTATTCGACGCCAATCCTCTCGTTGCTATTACCTCACGTCGTTTTCCATTGGCAGTTACTGAAATCTGGCGCGACAGGTTGCTGACGGAACTTCGTAAATGGAAACTGGAAATGATCTTCCAGAAAGGGAGATCTTAGGCTTCCAAGCTTCTCGAGAGTTGGCGTGTAACTCTTACGTTTTCTGAATATCAAATGAATTGATTGCTATGTATAAGACATCCGTAATTACCGAAACATTTCGTGTACATATTGCATTTGCGAGCTAAAATCGACCTGAAAATGTGGATTTAAACGTAAATAAATAGATAAGATTGCTAAAAAATTTTCTTTATGAAAAGAATGGGTGAATTTTTTCCCTGATAATACAAAAAATAATATAATATAATATATAATATAATAATATATAATAATATAATATAAAATTAATAAAATAATAATTTGAGTTACGATATTGTGAGTTTATTCCAGAATCGAAAAAAGAAGCTTTTAATAAGGAATTTCAAGTTCGCCATAAGAGTTATATATCTACATATACATATACAATGCGGCTCGAATCTGGTCTAACATCCCATTCTCTCATTCTACGACAGAACAATAAATGTAGTACAATCCGCTTTGTCAAACAAGATTCTAGATTTTCAATATGTGACATCACATTCTCACTTAGGATGAATTTATTATCGCATATAGTATCATACGTATAGTATCATATAATCATAAAGAATGACGATATAAAAATCATGTCATTTCATATTGCATGAAAACACATTCTGATAATAACTTTTTCTTCTCTTTGCTATTCTAAGTGTGACATCACATACTGAAAATCTAGATTTTCTTCTGATAAAACTGATGATATCATTATTCATATTTATTCATTTTTATTCTCTTATATTATTTTCTCTATGTTTAACCTCTAAAAATGATTCGATTTCCCTTTTACGAATTTTCACAGAAAGAGAGTATATAACATTACACATCATTATTTCAAGCTTATTTCAGAGATACATTGCACAAATACATCACATATAACATAAATTTTTGCTAAAACGAAACATTATATCATTACGTTATTTCTCTAATATTACTATATACATTAGGTAAAAGTATGTCACGTGATGAAGCTTCTGCTAAAGCCAACGTCGCATCATGTCACGTGACGTACTTTGTTAATATAGTAGGGTAGTGGGGATAATGTGACTTCATGTATTCTCTTCTTGTGGAAATTCGTTGGAATGAAATTGAATTATCTTTACTGAGAGAAAGTAGTGTTCGTTTAGCAGCCCTATAACCCTCAGTAACCATTTTCTTTTTTTGCATTCTTCTATTTGACAATCCTGTTATCTTCTCATTAAAGGAATTTTATTTCATTAAGTATATAAAGAAGGAATTTTTTTGAAAAAATTTTCTTTGGTGCTTTATTTAAATATTGCTATCATAATCTTGTTTGTATATGATTTTATACGATTTGTGAACAGTTAATGATAAAACTAGTTAGATACCGGCTTTGTCGGCAGATCATTGTATATAAAAACGTGATTATCGCAATGGTATACATATAGGTTATATTAAATTACGACACCTTTTCAATCTAGACAAGAGAATTATCCTCTACGTGGAACTCAATGTTTCTCGATGACCAGAGTTATTGATCTTGGATGTAGGGGATATAGAATGCGTTGTAACATGATGTGGATGGATATTACATTGGCAATGAATCGAAAAAAGAGCACATAGTTGAGTGGATTGTAATAATATTAGGTACAGAGTGTTGATTGAATGTATATGGTTGGTGTCTTGTTTCTTCAATTTGCATTCGATATGCTCTTGCTTCTTATGGCAGATATCTATAGATTCCTTGAGCTTTACTGCAAAGAATCTTTCATTGGAGGTATTTTAATTTGTATTTCATTATTTATTTGTACTGTTATTCTAAATTCACAATTTATTAATAGCAATAGATGTAACAATAAAAATATCTATTTGGATTTCATTAAATCTGATTAAATATAACGATAACATTTATTGGTCGAAAATTTCATTTATAAATAAATATATTTAATCATCAGAAATTTTTTTTTATTATAATATATAAGTCTTTCTCCTTTATTTTCCACGTAATTTTCATATTATTTTTTATAAATTTATGTAAATCAATCTTAAAACTAAACTGCTAAATCTCGTATAATATTCAATTATAGTTTCTACATGAAATTTAATATTATTTTATAGTCTAACTCTTTTGCTGAATTGTTTCTGATTAACAAATTTATTTTCAATATTCACAATAGATCTGTTACAAATTTTTAGAGTGTATGTCGAGTATACTCTCTGTCTCTCTTTATTTTTTTTTCTTTTACGCTTTCATAAATGAATGTATAAAGTATAAATTTAATTATTATCGCATCAATCACGCATACTCTCAAAAGGGTGCAAGAAATCGTTTTTCAAACGAGGGCGCGAATAAAATTGTTTAAATTGCAAACGATAAGTCATAAAAGCAAAGATCCAATCAATCTTAACGATTTTCAACGATCTTCTTATGGTAACCAACACAATTTCGACGAAATACTTGCGAATAAATTCAAACCAATATAGCGCGCGCTTCATTGACGATCGAAATCCGCGGCTTTTCTAAACAACATTAACCCATATTTCCGATTTTCCTCGATTCTCGTTGAATTGTATCACGAATAGAAACCTGAGAAAATCGACATAAAGAGAGTGAAATTGCCCAAGATTTCACGTATCTGCTCAACCATTCTTTGCCTCTCTGTTTTATTTTATGACAAAGCAATTGAATCAATTTTAGAAGAAACAATTTCACGTTTTATATACACGTTGAAATATATCTTGTTGAATATTCTTCCTTTTTTTACGACGCATTGACTACCTGAAATAGCAGCGGATATCTCGTTAACTCGTGAAAAGTTTTCAAATATTTCCTTAAATTAAATAAATTATTCACAAAACCAGTGGTTCCCAATATATGTGGGAAAAATTTGGAAGAACGTTATGAACTCTCAAAATATATTAATTTTAATATTGATGAACTTTTTAAAAATTAAATGAAAATATATATACATTACTCGAAGGAGAAACATAAAATTAAGAATTACTGTATTCCAAATAACAATCTTTATATTTTAATATATTTGAAAAATCATTTTGAATAAAAAATATATACATCTTGAATTGGTTCGTCTTCATTCACGAGAAAATAAAAATGGAAAGTTATTCAAATTATATTTTTAACTTTTAATGATAATTATTTATTTGAAACTACATTTTTATATTGATTTATAATGACGATAATTTAATATAAAAATATTTAAAGAAGATAGATTCATTATCAGATTCATTTCTTTCTATTCATTGTTACATTTCTGATATCGATCATTATATAAATTAATATAGATCAATGTAAAATAATCTCAAATAAATTAAAAATTAAGTATCTTGAAAGTATTTGATTACTCGTAACTTGTATCTCGAGAACGAAGATCAATAATTTATAGTATATACGTAATATTTTTTACTTTGAACGACCTTTTAAATATGTTGCCAAAGTATGTCCTTTTTTATTCGAAACACCTTGTACATTAAGATAAGGAAATAAAATTCTCGTCGTAATATCGATAATAAAGCTCAGTTGTAACGATTTCTGCTCCAGTTACACAAAACGTCGACTTAACAGGCGTTCACTTTGCCAACCTTCGTGGATTTTTCATCGTTTAGTCTTTCTTTTTCTCTCTATCTTTCTCTCTCTCTCTCTTTCTCTCGCTTATTTGCACGAAACAAGTTATTTGCGGTAATGTTATATCGGGAAAGCAGCACGGCTTAAGTGGCCGTTTCTCGCCGCCACGTTTCGCGTTTAATCGACGCAAATTATTCTGCGGTACGAAGCGTAAAGCGGCGGAATTTCAAAAATTCTGCTTTGTAAATAATCACTGTAGGTACTCGTTCCACGTTTTGAGGAAGAACCGTCGAATGTTATAAAGTTGTCGAGACATCTTTCTGAGAATCTTCCCAATGCGATGATATTTTCTTCCTTTTTTTTTTTTTTTTTTTCTTTTTAACGAAAGTGTATGATTTTATACAATGTATACACACTTTTAAATGGGTTTCTCTCGAGTGACTTCCGATTTTAATATGATAATGGTCGTTTTACGAGAAAATGATTCTTGCAACAAACTTTTTTTTAATTTTATGAAAGTGTATAAGAGGCGATAAAGGAGATCTGGGTTTTTGTGAAGAGATAAAAATTTAAATAGGTCAAATTAATAGTGTAACTTAATAGAAAATATCGTGTTGCTTTAAATTCTTGATTTATTACATTGAGACACAATTGTGATAAGGATTTTATATTAAAATGAAATGAAACTTATAATAAATATTATAATAAATTTTACAATTTACAATAATGTTTTAAAGATACATAATTTAAGAATAATTCAATTATTTTTATTATTAGTTGATTGATAAAAAAAAAAAGAAAATATAACACAGAACAAGATCATAATAGGCAAAAATAAATAAAAGATTATATGGAAAAATTAAAAGTGATCTTGAAAATTTATTTAATTTATTTTTATTCTATTAAAAGATGAAGATCCCGTTACTTTCCTTTTCTCGTTTTTTTATGCTTACATAATTTTTAGTTAAGTTTTTACATAATTATAGTTTCTTTTATTCTGTGAATATTTCTAATCTTCAAATATATAATTTATATATAATTTATATAATTATATATAATTTCATATTGCAATATACAAATAAATTTCATAAGATATAGTTATGATTAGAATTAAATATATACCAAATTATTGGAATTATATTGTATTACATAACATATTGGAATTCTAAGTTACGATATCTTATCTATTAAAGAAACACGAAATTTGATCATTGTTCTTCTGCATTTCTTTATTAAACAAATATAAATATCATATAGTTATTTTAGCTAACTGTAATTTTATATTTTTGCTCAGTAAAGAAATATTTTCTTATATTTGCATACATAAATAAGAATTGCTAATAACTAATTCACTTGCATGGTATTTTCATTATATTAGTTTTATTTTAGAATTTCTAAATACATAATTAATTAAATTCCTAAAAAAATTTCATCTCAATGATTGCTTCATTAATCATTCTTCTCTTACAATTTCCATTATAATTATAATAACGTGTAAAATATGCATTTACCACGAATCGAACTTCAAATTATTTTTATAATTTGGCCTTGCAAATTAACAGATTTAAATATGTATTGATTTTTAGCCATTGGTTGTCATTGTATCACAATCCAATTGTACCAGACGACGATGAAAATGAACTCGAACGATGAAATCCGTTGACAAGGAACAGGAAACGGAAGGATCCATGACAGCGTGTATTCGGTTTTTGCAGACGGAGCGTAACGATCAGGTGGACCTAATCGCTTCATTTCACGGCAGTTTGTCGTGCTACCTGCCCTCGTCTGGGTCAATCAGGGCTAAGATTGGTCGGAGGAACGAAACGGTTTCGTTCCGCGTGCCCTGGTGGCCACCGTCGAATTTAGGTTAATG